GTACACAATTGCATAAAAATAGAATTTAACAGATAATGTGGTTTAGGGCTTCTTGGTTTGTCACAAAACTCACAGATTTGCAGAAGAAAAATTAAGCACCAGTGGCTTCTTTCCACCACACTGAGCAAGGCAAGATGTTTTTCTCCATATCTTAACCATTCTGGAGCCAAGTTAAAATAACCAGATATGGGCTTTAACTGGCTGCAGTCCTGCTGAGGATGCAGCAGCTGCCAGCTGTGAACCCCTGTGTGGTCCTGCAGGCAGTCATACATGCACAACAGGCTCAGCACACGTGCTCTATCTCTAGGTGCACTATCCTTTCAGAGGCTAAAGCTCTGAACTCTTGAGAAGTAACCACACAAAATTGCACCTCTGTAACTCACCTTTCCACTCAAGACACTGAGGATCTCCCACCTGCCTCACTCCTGTGAGGATTCTCTCCAGAAAAATCTCCATGTTTACATGCAAGTAGATCTACAAGTGGCTTGTCTTGCCAAGTCTAATTAAAACACTTTACACATCCTATTTTTGCATTTTTAATTTTTTATTTTAAATAAAAGGATACTGAGTGTTCCAACTCAATCAGAAAATGCAGGAGGGAAAGGAAATACTTTGACTACGAAACAAATTCCAGGTTTTCCTAAAGCACAGGGTGCAGTTATAAAAGTGGGGATGACAATCCACGACTTTTTTTAAAGCCTTTCAAAATATGAATAAAATAACCAATATAGAAACATTTCACAATACACAGAGCAGTAATTCCAAAGGGATTGCATTTGAACTGATGACTATCTGAGCTATGAAAGCTGATGCATCCAAGGCAGCCCTTAACCAGCTGATGACTGAAACTACAGAGAAGCACTGATCGCATTAAAAGCCTAATACATAAATTCCCACAGCATAAAGCAGAGAAAGGAGACATTTCTTTTTCTCTTACATTAATAAAATAAGAAAACATTCCTGAAAACCTTGAGAGCCAAACATCTCCATTCAGTAGCAGGAAAATAATTTTCCTAAAGACTGCACTAACGTGCTAGAAGGCCACTGGCTTGAGATGCACACAGTAACAGCATACGAGGTTCTGAAAGAACGCTTCCATTGCTTTTTTTAACACCAGCTCAGATGCTTGATTACTATAGCCAGAGACATGTATATGTAAAACCAGCATGCACAGTACTGCTTAAATCCAAAATGCAGTACATTCTTACGAGTACGAGAGCTCCAAAGGGTATCTGCACAAAAGAGTGATTCCTGCACTCTTTACAGGAGCAGACAAGGCTAGCATGGCCTCAACAGGCTCCCAGATGATCCTGTACTGGGAGGCACCCTCCCAGAAAAGATGCTCTGCAGAACATATGGATATACCTTTTGCCCACCGGATTCACACACCCACTTAAATAAGGCTCATTAACTGGAGGAAGAAAAATAACGTTGCTGAGGTTCTTGTTTTCAAAAGCAAAGAATATCCTCTCTTGTTAGGTCTATACTTCTGATACCAGCTCACTTCCCTTCAGGAATAGCATTCCTCCACAAAATTCTTAACAGGCACTGTTCCTCCTCTCTAAATCTACCTTCAGGGTGCCATGCTGGGAAGTTAAAAAGAGCATCAGAAAACCTGAAAAAGCCTACCTTAACTTTCAGCCCTGCCCTTGAAAAATTCTTCCATACTTCTCAACACAGACATTAAATGGATTTGCCCCAGCAGTCCTGCCTAAATGGTACCAATGCCTGAATCCTCAAGCTGCACAACCGCATCTTCAAAACACTGCACTCTTAAGTAAAACTGTCCCACTAAAAAAGCAGACCAGTTCATTAGAGCACTGCCCTCCTCCTTATAAAACACTTAATCTGATGTTAATTTGAGGGACAATAAATCTCTCATGCAAAGATCTGAGGGTCTTTTTAATCAAAATTATTTCTTTTGGATTTGGCTGTGACTACCTTTCTTCCAGATCAGCCCTGCCAAGGCCAATGCATACCAAGGGCAGCGAGACACCACTTAATCTAATTTAGCAAGAACAGAAACCGGCACAAGGCAGCACATGGCAATCGCTCATGTGACACAGCTTTGTGGCACTGCTTTGTATTCATACACCCGGAGCTCTCTGCAGCAGAAAAACACACCTGCAATGGGCTACCCCAGCAGCTGGAACCCTTGTCAGTCCCTGGCATAGCAGGAGATCATCCCTTCCAAGACCCATTGGGAGAAGCTGCAGCCTCCCTCCATCTCGCTCAGCCACAAGATTGCAGCTAGAGCCATCTTCTCCTGGCCTCGTTCCTTCTCCCCAAACGATGGCTGATGGAGCAACGCCTGCCCAGCGCTGGACTGGCCACAGCCAGAGCCACCACAGCCTCCCTGCAGGAGGAACAGGCAGAGTGAGAGCAGGAGTGCTGCGGAGAGGAGAGCACACCGAGAACTGAGGAGAAATAAGGAAACACAAATACTGCAGCTGAGTCCCCAAACACAGACTGGAAATCCATTTCATGAGGCTCCATGTGCACAGGGATGCGAGTTCTTTCACTTCCTTTTTCAGATGACGGTAACTCAGCACCAGACATTCAGAAATTGTTTTTCTCTGCTACACTGCAGTAAGCATTTTTAAACTATTGTGGTGAATCACTTCTTTGCACTTTCTTCAACAAGGCTTGAGCATATAACAACATCCTGATGGGCTGCTATTTGTTTAGAACAAAATGTGGGAATTTCATTCAAAAACAAGCATCCAACACTACACCCTGCAAATAAATCTGCTTCAAGACACTGGGGAATCAGCTTCCGAATAAAAGGTTCCTTTTGACTTTAGGCACTTTTCCCCTGTTTTACAGGTACATTGGTATCCACTAGGAATCCCAACAGATGGCTGGGATTTTGTTACCACACAAACCAGTTTGTGTGGTAACAAAGTTCTTACTCTACAGACCCTACAAGCTTCACACCATCAGAAATACTGACACATTATTCAACTTCTACTTTGATGAAAGCTAAGCAACCATTCCTCCTCAAGCTGTGTTTTTTTAAATTAAAAAAAAAAAATAGGCTAAACTTAGCTAATGAACAGACCATACCAAATTTATGTCAATACCTAAACAGCTGCTAAGAACGCTGTTTCTCAAAATTCAATCCACAAAGAGCAGCAAGCTTAGCTGCTGGCTTGCTTTCATTCACACCTGACTAATTACATGAAAAACCAAAAAAATGCTCTAATTATTTTTCAAATATCTCTTTCCTTGCAACCAGGATCTAGAATCACTACAGAACTGTTTAAAAATAACAAGAGCTGACTTGCACAGCCATCAGCTAGACAGTCCCCAAGGCATGATATTATGAAATGCAGCACAAGGCACTTCTGAAGGTGTTAGAGCTAATAGAAAATGCTCCATTTTTGAAGACAGCAACACATTCAAGTTCAAGTCTTTGACCAAGGAATTCTGAATTACATACACTGAATGATTTTAATATGATAGGCTGAAAAAAAATCCACTTGAATCCTACACGATAATATAGTGGGCTACTATGAAAAACATATTTACTACAGCAATACCTGCACTTTTTCATTTCTCAGTTTGCTGCTGTATGGAAGGAGAGGAGTACCATTTGACCCAATAATAAAAACAAGCTTCACATTGACCAAAATAATGTTATTTTTAAATCAGTTCATACCAGTAAGGTGCTCTACAGAAAAGCATGTGAGAAATGAAAACACTATCTTCAGAAAAAGATTTAAATACCATGTTGTATGTGAGCCTTAGAGCTGCTGAACAGTAGGAAAGAAAATGAACAATTACTTAATAACAGAGGTTAATAAGGTAATGAATGAGGCTACATACATAGTATCACTACACAGTATCAATCACTCTACTTTTATAAAAGAGCTTAAAAGCAACATTAATTGCAGAATTCCCCAAGTCTTGGTTACTTTCACTGTCAACCAAGATAGTCCCTTAGAAGCCTGATCACATATTTAATGCCCTGATTGAGTAATAACTTTGTGCAGACCTTCAAAACCTAGATAGCAGCTTCATTTCTATATGGGATTCCTTAGACAAATTGGAATTATGCCAGCATTTAGAGATGCAGGACATGGGCTCCCCAGCCTTCTCCAGAATAAGATAAATAAAAATATTTTGGCAAGGAAACAGCCCCTCACTACCAGAACTCTTCTTAGAATCTTCAGCAGTTTCTCACATTGAAGCATTGTATTCGACAATACCAGAGTCTCCCACCTTAAAACAAGCTCTGCTTTTTGTTAGCAAATAAATTTAAGCTTGCCAATAAAAAGGTTCCCCTCCTGCTCAAAAGTTAAACTTCTGAGCTACCTTTAAGCATTAACTAGAGAAACACTGCAAATTGAAATCAGGGTAGAAGTTCTTCAGTAGTTTCCCAAAGTACAGAAAGATGAGGTTTCACACATACCTAAAAGCCTGCTGTCCTCACAAGTGCCACTTCTTGCTGCATGGTCCCAGCCCCTTTAACACACCCCTGACTACTCAGTGAGCCAGTTCAACTCAATCATTGCAGGCAAATTATGACTCTTCCCTACCCCCACAATATTTCAGTCTAGAGTAATAAACTCAGTCTGCTCACCAAAAGGTCAGACAAGTGTCAGGTCAATAAAGCATGATGTTCCTACAGCATGAACTAACACCGTGCTGCTGCCTGCCTCAACCAGCAGCGACCTTCAAAAGACTAAACGTTAAAATAGCCCAGTTTCCTCTCGAAAGCAAATAGGTCTTCTCCAGCTCCGTTATAAATTCCAAGAAAGCAAACCCAGCTGTGTCAAATGCTTATTAGCATTCGTTTTGTACGTGTACAAGAACATACATGCAATTAGCTGGAAATAAGAGGAAAAGGTCCACACAATCACCTTGTTCTATAGATGCAACACTGAGCTTCTCCCATTCAATTAATTAATTTTAATTAATTTAATATTTAATTTAGATGCAATTAATTTAACTTAGAGTGCATATAGTTCCTAATCCCATTGTGCATTTAAATGCAGCATTTCCATCTCTGAGACGGAAAGAAAGAGGAAGTTATATGACAACTTAAAACAGTTTCTGAGGAGATCAGTTTCTGAAACGATGCAAGACCAGTGCAAGAAGCAAGTGGAATTGAAAAAAACCACAAAGGTAATCTTCCCAAATCCAGATGTGAGTTTCAAGATGCTGTCAAAACACTCACTCCCACCACTTTGTCCCAAGCACACGATCAAAGTGACAGTCACAGTGGCATCCTCTGATCTTCTGCCATGAAGTGACCAAATTGTGCCTCGTAATTTTCACAGTGCTAAAGCCTGCTCATTAATTCCACCCCAAGAGGAGAAATCTCGTCGATTTCTCCAAACAAAACAAAACAAAACAAAACAAACAAACAAACAAAAAAACCAAAAAACAAAACCAAAAAACCCAACAACGCCTACCACCCTGTCTGTCACCGGTTCGGGACTCTCACCCCTCTTTACGCTTCTGCATACTCTCGGGCGAGTGTAAGTTTATTTTCGCAGCAGCAGTAGCTGCCCTGTGCCCGGCTCCCGCCGAACACGTCCCTGCTGCAGCCGGGGCCGCCCGCGGGCAGCAGGCAGCCCCGGCCCTGCCCGAGCCCCTCCGCAGCCCCGGCCGCTGCGAGCCGCGGTCCCGCCCCGCTCCCCGTGGGAGTGCGGCAGCGGGCAGGAAAAATGTTTCTTCTTTAGTTTTTGTGTTGTTTTTTTTTTTTTCTTTTTTTTTTTCTTTTTTAAAGGGGCTCTTCTCTCGCTCTTTGTGGGCCAGGCAGGGGACAGGTTCGGCGTCAAGGGCCACATGTCGAGGGGCGCCCCCTGCCAGCAGCGGAGCCCCGGAGGGTCGGTTCCCTTCCCCGGCCGCCGAGGCTGCGGGGCTCGCCCGCCGCCGCTCTCGCACCCACCTTTCTGCGCCTCGGTGCCCCGCAGCAGCAGCAAGAGGAGGAGGAGGCTGGGGCGGAGCAGCAGGGCCGCCCGCCGGGTCCCCGCGGGGCGCAGCCGCCCCGGGCTCACCATGGCCCGCGGCGTGGCCGGCGCGCCCGGCGGTCCCGGGACATCGCGGGCTGCGGGGCGGCCGCGCCGGGCCGCGTCTGAGCGCTGCGCGCCCGCCAGCCCGCCCGTCCCCGCGGCCGCCCAACCGCTTCCGGGGGCGCGGCGGAGCCGCCCCGCTTCCTGCCGCCCTCCGCCCCGCTCGGCCGGGCCCGCAGCCCGGAGCCCCGGCGGCTCCGCCGAGCGCGGGGCCCCCTCCGCGCCCGACCCGAGCCGCGCCCTCCCGGGCGGACTGCGCGGGGCTCACGGCCCAGGCCAAGTCCCCGGGTCCCAGCCCCTGAATTCCCGCTCTCTTCCACCTCCGCCCTCCTCTGCGAGCTGGCTACGAGTATTTCACTTCTTTGAGCTTTTTTTCCCCCTCGCGAAGTAGACATGAAGGCAAAATTTCTGGGAAAAACCCAAACAAAAGTCCTTGGAAACACGAGTATTGCAGTTGATAACAGAACGGATAATCTGGTGTCAAAGGTTAAGCTGGTGTCAAAGTGCTCCACACACAAATGTGAATGCAGCTCTAGATGTGGGAGAGCTTGGCTATGAGGCCCCAAGCAATTGCAGCTTCAGCCCTTGTCCCCCAGCTTTTGAACACACGCTGTGTGTGATGGGAGATATTTCCAGTGGTTGCACTGTAAAACTTGTCTTTAGGAAGAACTTGTTCTCCGCTTCTTCCAAACAGCTCTACAAAACAGATACTGGTTCCTGGCCAGTTGTGTCCAGTGCTGGCCCCACCAAAAGGACAGGAAAACCATCTCAGGAGCCAGTCTTACCCAACCCGCAGAGTTGCTTGAAGAAGTATTTAGATTATGTTTAGTAATTGATTTAACATTACTATTCCTTATTAAGATGCTGAAAACTCAACTGTGGCCAAGTCTATGCTTACAGCTTGTTAAGGGCTTTGTACAAGGGCTGTTATAGCCTGTTGACAAAGAAACATGGAGAGCATTACTTTTCCTTCCTTGAGTACCATACCCCATACCATCCATACCCCTTGTGCCAAATCACAGAAGATTCCAGAATAGATTTGGATGCTCAGACTAAAGACAGCAAAATTTTGTTGCCCATTTTTTATTTGTTTGGCCCATACTTGTGCCACAGCTACTAGAAGTAGCTTTTCATATAATTAGGGAATTATAAACATGAGAATTTTAGAATATTTCATATTTTTCCCTTTTGAAATCTTTTAATGACATGGGAAGATATCCAAATGAAAGCAAAATCAAGGAAGTGTATCACAGAATAATTTTTTTTAAGTCATCTTACAAGATGTAATAGCCACCAATACATCCTGCAACACCTAATGGAAGGTGAATCAAAAATAATTTACATACATTGCTTTGTGTTCCATTCATCAGACACAGAAGTTCATGCCATAGGTCACACAGAGCAGTTACATCACTACAATAACATCCTTTCTGTACTACAGAGACCACATTCCTAAGATCACTAATCATTGGTGGTGTTGTGCACTGGAAAAATCACTCCTTGAATAATTTCTGGCTTAGTGGTGCCGTGCATTAAGAGGAGCATCTGAACATCCTACACGTAATTCACTAACAGACCTGACAGAGGTTTCCTCCTGTGTTATGTTCTGTTCTCAAGGTATTTTGTGAACTTGATTTAACTATTCTAAATAGTTTATTTGTGCATGTAAAAAAATGAGCATCTGAATCTGTGAAAGGGTTGATTTCTAAATGGGGTGTGTAAACTTGCAGAATTCCTAAGACCAGCCAGAGGCCAAATTTGCCTAATCTATCTTGGAAGTTTATCCCAAAGCTACATTCCCTGGCCACAAATGGTTTTTGTGGACCTTAGCTTATATATTTTGCAAAGGGAGCACCACCATCCTGACAGAAGCAACAACAAACTATTAAAGGTTATACACCTTAAAAGACTCAAAGATTTCTAGAATCTACAGAACCCAAGGATTCCCAATGCAACTGTTTGAAATACTTGTCTTAATATATGGTTTTCATGCAACAGAGCAATCTGAAGAATTATATAAATCCAGATGGTGACTACAGCTTTCAGAATCTTCCTTCTGAGAAGATTCCAGCACAAAATGAATTTACGTACACCAGCTGCAGAGTACTGCATAGTTTGGTCTATGAGAGCTCCCAGGCAGCTCCTCTGGGGAAAAAATTGTGTAAGAAAGACTTGATTTTAGTTTGTGACTTAGAACTGTCACTGACATCAAATCAAAACAGATACAAATTAAAATGTTTTGGGAAGAAAACACAAATATAATAACATATGATACCAATCTCATAAGGCAAATTGCCAATACCTTTACAAAATCAGCACAAATACTGTTTTTTCAGTATCATAAGACAGAAGACCAAACCAGCTCCTTAGTGCTGATAGAAAAATGTTTAGCCGACTAAGCATTTCTATAATGTTTCCTTCCCATTGTGAGTAATTTCTAGAGGTGACAGAAACTATCATCTCCATCTGGTTCTCTCATTTCCCTCGAGAAGCTTCTGAGTGCTGGGCTTCTTTCCCACCATAGCTCTCTAGATTTTACATTCTTTTGTTGCATTTCAAAAGCTGAATTCAGCTGGAGGGCAGGGCTGCTATTCAGAGAGAGCTCCACCAGAGCAATTCCAAGGTCTTGCATCTGGGAAGGAATAGCCCCATCCAACAGTAGAGGCTGGGAGCTGTTTAGAAGCAGAAAAGGACCTCGATGTCCTAGAGGACAATTTGAAGGTGTGTCAGCACTATGCCCTTGCAGCCAAGGTGGCCAACAGCGTCTTGAGCTGTATTAAGGAGAGGGCCAGGGGAACAATCTTCCATAACACCTCATCTCAGTACTGTCACTGGTCTGGGGCTCCCTCCAGTACGAGAACAATAGAACAGGGTCAATCAAAAGGCCTCCAAAAGAGTCAGGGGCTGGAGAACGTGATGCACGTGAAGAGGTTGATAGAGCTGGGTATTTTCACCTTGGAGAAAAGGAGACCCTGTTGCTGCTTACAACTCCCTGACTGCAGGACAGGACTGGAAAATGGAAGTAGCCTCTTCTCATAGGTGTACCATGATGACAGAAGAGCCAACAGACACAAATTGCAGTGCAGTAAATTACTAAGTAAAAGGGAAAAAATATACCATGAGGATGGTCAAACACTGGACTGGGTTGCTCAAAGATGTTGTAGAACCTCCATATTTAGAGATGTTCAGGACTCCCTTAGCCCTCATCAACTGGATCTGATGAGACCTGTTTGAGCAAGGAGCTAAACTAGATAACCCCTGAAGGTCCCTTCTGACCTGTTATGACTGCATGATTTTAAGGCACCAAGTGATGTTCTATGGGTGAAAGTCCTATAGTTCCAGGTCTAGATGTTCTAGGACCTAGCTTTTGTTGCTCTTGGCTACTTTTTTTTCATCTCATTTGGGATTTCTGGGTTTTGTTATAGCTTCAGTAAAAATCGTTCTACTCATCTCTTTGCTCTCATTTTTTCTTTGCTCCAGGTTTTATTGCCTATTATGCTGATTATTTTTTAAGAATAACAACAATTTAAATTCATCCTTTTAGAAAGGAAAATGGGTATTGATTATATATTACTCAAATCAATGTACATAATTAGTATCATCCTTTAGAAACAAATTTATAAAGCCACTATGATATGGTGGCTTTATAAACCTGAGGTTTATTAATAATGAACCTGAGGTTCATTATTAATTCACTTCAGCTGGGAGCCTCATGACTGTACATAAGACACATTTATTTGACACTCTAGAGTTATTTAGTTGCTGAGTGGTCTGTGTTTTTAAAAGAGAATAAAAACTTAACATTTAGTTCTGGATTATTTTAGTAAGAAACATCTGTGAATTTTACTGTGCTGAAAGCCATTATCCGGGGAAAACAGTAGCATAAATTCCAAGAATATTTTTTTTTTTTTTACATTTTTACTGCACTGTATATATGAAACAATTCAGAGAAGATGGTGATAAGAAAAATGCAAATTTTTTTCATATTTAAACACTGTAAATAGGGAAAGAAAATATTAGGGAGGATCTCTTACTGTCTTCTACTCTTGAACAAATTCTTGTTTATTGGAACAATGTCCAATTGTTAAGATCCTTTAAGCAAGAACAGTTAGAAAAACATTAAAGACAAATTGTATCTTATAACTGTGGGTTTTATACATTTAAATAAAAACTGTGTTTCAAAGTACTGAGCAATTTAAATTCCCAGGATGCGGTGAATCCTCTGGCTCAGTGAAAGCTGAAGGAGGAGCCTATGATTACTATAGGATTAATTAAGCACAGGTAAAATTTTAATCATGGCTTTAGCTTCTGTGGGAATTAAGAACATACGTAAGTCTGTACTATTTGGCTTAATCAGGAACTATGAATCTTCTACTTCAATTATTTCCATACATTTCCTTTCTGTTTTATAGGTAAGATACTGCTTTTCACATTCTCTTCAGTGTATTGCATTTTTGTCAGGAATTAGTTTTGTCTTTTAGCTTTTCTTCCTGCATGCAAAGCCCAGTTTGAAACAATCTTTCATCACTTGCACCTGCTCCAAATTCTGTATTTTGTCTATATTGTTCTCATTCGCTGCCTGCATTCTTATTTGTTATTAGCTCTGAATTGATTCAGTCACTACACCAGGTTGAATCATTATTTGGTTTATACTGATTTCTGCTCCCAAACTCATTGACCAGTGGCAACCAAAAAAGCTTTAGATGTCAGGCTCCTAAAATGCTGAAGCTCTTCACTGATAAATTTACAGGCTTGAGGAGAACAGATCACATTTATGATGAGGAGAATAATTAAGAGCACCCTTTCTTTTGTCCTTTTGAAGGTGAAAAAGAGGAATTAAATGTGGCATGTTTCAGGGCTTTGTATCCAGTCTAAAGGAAATCCTATGTCCATACATCAGTGTGAGAGACCAATATAATGTTTAGCAATATATTTTTGCCTAATGCTGTATACAGAGGAGATGTCAACAGAACCTTGAGATGAGACTATAATGTAACAACCTGGGACCTGCAAAGACAATATCTGGAAGGTAAGATCCAAAGGGAACAGCTTCAAGCAAATTTTCTGTCTCAGAAATAGATGCAGATGAGATTGGTATTTCCTTTGCAAATAAATTAATTTGTTTCAAGAATTTGTACTTTGCTTGTTCTTAAAATTGTGACTGAGAGTATTGAATTGTTGGTATCAGCTCTTCCTCTTCCAGGTAAAGAAACTGGAGAGCAGCTTGATTTTTTCTGATCTTTTGTTGCAGTCCCACCCAACACAAACTGAGCTGAGTTAAACTGCAACCATATCAGTACAGTGATGCGTAAAACAAACTGTAGTAAAAAGAAGAGAATCAAAATGTGAAAGTATATTTTAGAAATACCAGATTAATGATGAAAAGCTTGATAGCTTTTGTACAGATTTAAGTAATGTGCCGCTGATGGACAGCCCTAACTGGTGCTGATGAAAGTCAGAGCTAGAACTGGAGGCAAAAATAACTCAAATTCAAACAAATTGGTGTAGCATTTAACTGAAACAGCAGAGAATTTTAATTTTAAATGAAAGAAAGCCTGAAAATATTAAAATCTTTAAAGCTTAAAGAACCTTTAAAAGCTTTAAACTTTGCTAATAAAGACATACATAAACATTAGAACTTTTGATCAAATTTGAAGATGACATAGGATTTTTTTATGTGAAATGCAAGTTTTTTGCACGGGGCTAATTTTTCTCTCTGGAGAACAGCATTGCCAATTACTAAAAACCCACAAACTTGTGAGTTTTCTTCTGTTATTGCCAGCACTTGGAGGCTGGCAGGCAATGACTGTCCAAGTTCTTCAGGAGTCTCTCCAAATCCATTTTCACTAACATTTGTATTACTCCTATCTCATTCATGGGAGAGGTTGACACTACAAGGTTGCAATCTCATCCAACAACTCACATCTTTCTCACAAAGTCTTACCCAAAGTACACTTCAGGGCCTGTGTTGGCACAGAAGTTATGGTGTTGCACCTCAAGAGGAGTGGGTGTCATTTGCCCATTATATCTGAAAATGCAAAGAGACTGGGGAACTGATTATTGTCAGTCACAAATTAAAAAAAAAAAAACAAAAAAAAAAACAAAAACAACAAAAACAACCAGGCTTGAAAAAACAATACTATTTAAAGAAGATGCAGGGCCAGGGAGTTTTTCTTCTATCTTTTGTTTCTTGGCAAATGTAAAGGGAAGGAATTACCAAGTTGAGTATCAGAAGGTTGGAGCAGTAACTCACAGGCTTCCTGAGACAAGGCCCAGCAACACAGATGTGCAATGTTTTTCTGGGAAGCCCTTGACCGAGTGTTTATGTGCAACAATTCTGTTAATGCACAGATTGAGGAAGCATGGCAACCCAGCTTGCTCTAGCAGAAATAAAAGTTAGGGAATTCTTGTCAAAAAGGTTAAGTAAGTATGGAACCAATACTTCTCAGTGTATTTCTAAATGTTAGGAATTAAAACCTTCAGCTGCTTGTATGTTGAGAAGGAAAAGAGTGTCTTTCTAGACATAAATAGAAATAAATATATAAAATATATACATTATATATCATGTATATTTTACATTATATAAAATAAAATATATAATTTTATATACATATACATCTATATTATAAATATAAAATAAATACATAAATATAATATATAAATATATTTTGAGCAGAATGTCTGAGTACAATGTTGCAGATCAGGAGGGTTTTTTCATTAGGTTGGTGACCATTAAGTCCATGATTATATCTCAGTGTTAAGTTGAAATCTCCCTGCTTGAGCCCATTTCAGTCCAAGAAGGTATCAAAAATGGGGATGGCTTTGGTGGTAAGTTACATACTGAGATATGAGGTCCAGTCTCTTAAACAACTTCACAGCAATGGGAGAAAGGAGGTGAATAAAAGAAGCCCTTCTTTCAGCATGAAGATGAAAAACCCTCCTGCAGCCTCTCATGCAAGCTGTAACAACGAGAATCAATCAGCAACACTGATGTGCTTTTATTTCCATCTCCAGTATCCTTGGGCAGCAGTAGCCCTTCATTTTTATGTCAGTGAGCAGTGTTCTCTGGGATGTATTTTATGTTTCAGTAATGATTTACGTTCAATCTGCTGTAATAAAGGCCAGATGATCAACTCTGTTATGCAAATGGAAGCATGGAGAGAGCAAGGAAGTCCTCAACTTGAAGTGGCAGAAGGAACAAATGCCATTCTGTTTATCGGGCTGCTTTTCTTTATCCCTTGACCTTTCAGTAGCTATTTTGCCTGCACATTCTTCTTCAAGGGGAAGGGTGCAGTCAGATGGAAGGTGATGAATCCTGTCAGAAACCACGTCATGTCACAGCTGAGACTGATATTAAAGGTGTCCAGTAACTAAAAGCCTTGTTACTTTTGGGCTTTTAGTTCATATAAACTCTCAATAGTTTAAGCAAACAGGTTGCAATGCATTGGTTGTTAAGACAGAGGCTTATTTTAATGACATGCAAGTAAATTGGGTACCTATGCTTCAGGAAAGAAATACAAACAATCTACATGTAATTAACAGGAAATATACTTAATGCAGGTTATAATCTAGCTATATTTATATGTCATTGTCATTTTACATTTGTCTTTCTACAGATGTGAATGAAATACTGAACTGAATATTAGTTATACCCTTCAAAAGCAGACAGTGACTATGGACCTCCAGGGCTGAATCCATTCTCTTCAGCATAAGCTGAATAACCAAGCTCCCAGGAACTTGTGAGACAAGAACAGTTGTAAAGTAAGAGGTTTTCCTGACCAGCAGACTCATGTCAATATGGTTGTGTCATTCTAGCTGATGTAGATTGCATTCAAACATTATATGCCAGAAAAATGATCATATAATACTTCTGATACTTAAATATTGCAAATACTAAAAATTATTTTATTACATCTTTTGAAGATTTAATACTAGGTGTTAGAGATTCACTTGGGAGGCAAGCCCTGAGCCTTAGGGAAGGCTGTAAGATCTGAGAGCATTGTGAATAGTCATATCTTTCATCCACTGAAATAGATCAAGTTTTACCTGCATAAGATTAATGCCTACATTTTTGATTTTCTTTCATCTTTTTGGCTAGGATGAAGAAAGAATTCTGGGGAAAAGCAAACAAAAACAAACACCCCATGTGTGAATTAATAAATTGATATATCAGTATTTGTGTATATATGTATAAAATTATTGCATTGGTAAATTAAATAAAATTAATAATGCCATTGCATTTTCAGAAGGTAGAGAGATAATAATTTTATTTATATCTGTGAGAATAGCATAGTCAAAGCCCTTTTCCCAGGACAACAAATAAGGTAGGCTTGCAGCCTCCATTTTGTAATGTAAAAGCTCTGGTTATTCTGGTTCTGAATACATCTTGAGCTTTGAGAAACTTCATACCTGACTTAAAATTCATGGCAAAATGTTTCTGATGTTTGTATCAATGCCCTCGATTGTCTTCTGCCAGCTGTAGTCCTACTTCAGTGGATTAATTTCTGAAGTTCAGCCCATGTTGAAGGAAAATGCTTATGTATGGCTTATTATTCTTTCTCTTGCTAACATTTCATTTTTTTTCCTAGGTCTACTTACCCAGATCTTTTTGAAGAACATTTTCCCTCTCACTCTGTATTGAGCTTGAAGTTTGTGGTTTCCATTTCACACCTAAAGAGGGATTTACATGCCTAAAACATTTTTCTTACATCTCATTGCCTTGATTAAAAGATATTACCTCTCCCTGCAGCGCTTGCTTGCATGCCTCCTGAGAGAAAAAATGCAAACTGTAATGACAGCACCCCACAACTGGCTCAACAAGGAAACCACCAGAGAAGAGATTACCCTTACCGTGAGCGAGTATTTTGCCTAGTCTGACATGTCAGATTTTGGCCCTGCGCTTCTAATATAAAGCCCCTCCCAGAAGAACTGAATCAAAATATGTCAGCTTAATCAACATCATGTTTATGCATAAAAAAGACTTATTGACCTTTTGGTAAGTGACCTACTAAGAAAAGCAAGGTCTCAAAGGATTTCCCCCTTCATGCTCTGTGTGGGGCAACAAGCCAATACAACATCTGCTCAGTATGCACTGCAAAGCAAATGAACAATGCTGACACCATTAATCAGCTTGTCCAACTGAATAAAATTTCAAAAGCTAATGTAAGAAAGCTTGGCTTTAAAAGCAAACATTTCATGTGGATCTGCATGGGTTCATCTAATGATGGATTAGTTAACCCTGAGAGATGAAGAATAACTCCAGCCCTTTGTTTGAGAGGGCAGTGCATGAAAATCTGACAATGCACAGAGAAAGACTGTAAAGAAATTAAAGCTATGGGAAGTACTTTTGCAAAAATTGATTGCCTCCCATTGGTGCCTCAAACTTCAGTGTGTGATATTAAACACAATGAATAAAAACCACCTGGTTTTGAGTCCTATCCACAGGCTGCAAGCTGTGATTAAATGTATGTTTTTTTCATTCACAGAACTGTTAAAATGCAGGTAGCATTTTTTTTTCTTCCTTTCCCTCCTTTGCTGGGCCACAGAGAGGAACTGTACCTCAAAGAGAAAAATTACCTGGAATTAATTTCAGTGGAATAGATCAAAGCAGTGCAGCAGCAATTTCAATCTGGGGTTAAATAATGAGTGAAAATTGAGGAAAAGTCAGTAAAGGGAGCTGATACTTCCTTATTTAATGAGGAGTAGATAATCTGTCAGGGAAATAGAAGGTACAGAACACAGACACATGGAAGCTACACAGAGAAGCTACAGATGGAAAAAGTCTCTGCTAGCCAGATTAAAAATGCAAGTCCTATTCGATTGCTTTGTCAAACCCGCTTTTAAAAGTCCAAGACTTTTCTGCTTCTGAGATCCCCTTTGGAAGATGTCTCCAGACTGTAGTGTATTTTGGTCTCTGTATATTTTTTGCTGATATCCTTTTTTTCAACCTGAATTTCTTCCCATAATTACTAGCACACTCTTTTGGAATACACTAAAAATTCACCTCCTTCAGTAACCTTCACTGCCTTTTTGTAAATACCTGATTCCCTTATGTCTTCTCAGAATATCATGCCCAAAACTTGCTCCATTGGAAATTATCAGGATGGTTCAAGGGGCAGGGCTCTAACCTCAAAAAATAAAGTGGACATCACTGGAATAGGTAAAAGGTTTGTAAAAAACCTGAGACAAATGTTTTTTCATTGTTCAGAAAAGACTATATCTTGAATGCATCAGTCTCTTAATCACTATAAATCAGAGACTGGGTAAAGAGAGTTCCCATCACATGAACTGAAAGATGTGCTGTTCTAATAGTAAAAATACATTACTTTTTGATTATATTGTTTTTCATTTAACTTAGGAAGGAAAAAGCTTGAGAATTTACTGAAGAAGTGCTACTGAGTAAGGACTGTGTCTGCTCCAGTTGGCTAAAGGACAACAGTAGCATAAAATAATTTTGGGTGTGATGATTATAAGTTACATCAGATCAATATAAATTAATTTATTGTAAATAACCAAAAAGAAGTGTTAGGAAAAAAATATAAAAGAAAGAAAACCATTTGGAGAAGTAGGGTGGACAGAATAGTTCGGAGTCCTGAATGTTCAGAAATTTGGGGAAGATTGTAAATAGGAGATGCAAAAACCCTCAGTAACTCTTAGAGAAGGGATCTTACTGTAACTGGATGAACAGCTACCTGAAAAAATATGTTAAAAATAAACAAAAACTTAGGAAAAAATCTGCCTTGGAGATGAGAAAAAATAGCAACAAAGTCTGATTTATCAAAAGGCAAAAAAAAAGGGGGGGGGTGGAAAGAGATTTTATTTGTTTACAAAATGGATCACTGTGCATTGTTAGTAAATTAGAAATGAATCATTATCTGCTAAAGACACCACAAGAAAATGGGGGCTATTTTTTCCATCTTGTAAAGGAAACAAATTTCCATGTTAAGAGTACAGAAAGAACATGTTGATGCACTTGTAAACTTAGTACAGTATAGAAGGCTTTAGAACATCTTGCAAAGGAAAACACTCCACAAGGCGTAAATGTAGCAAAAAATAGGACAAAATAGAGTTTGGGTTTATGAAAGAAATGGATTCTGCTGCCATTGTTTTAGACAGCAATCAGCTTTTTTTAGGGAAAGAAAATACAGTGAATTTATCATGACTTCTGTAAAGTATTCTCATACAATTCATAAATTAAAGTGTAAATTATATGAAATAGCATAGGAATCACCTGACTATGTGAATACAAATGAGTATGATAATAGCAAGAGGATTTGGCAAGGAGAGTAAGGGAAAGAGAGAATGAGGATTTATCACTGAGAGTTCAAGGAAGATTGCAGAAAGACATCCTCCAGGACTAAGTATTATAAAATACTCTCATGGTTGGCCTTGGCACAAAGAATAGGAGGAAATTAATGAAATCTGATTATGATACAGTGGGAGACATTTTCAGTATAGTGACAAAATATTGTATTCGGGAGCGGGAAAAGATTATCATACAAGAAAGATTGATTTATAAGTCAGGAGTAATAGAAACGTTATGAACTACAATTAAAAATACTAATAAGAATTTCTCATTTAAGCTGGCAATTTATCATTTGAAGGCAGGGACAATGGCCAGCATGTTAGGTTGATGGCCTAACAATGAGATATGACTGACATGAAGATATGAAAAAGACAAATGTATTGCTCAGCTAATAGATGAGATATTTTAACATAGATGCAGAAATATTAAATTAATTTTACTTAAAATAATAAAATGTCTCCTGGAATGGGTCGCCATTATTAAAAGAATTAACTTGATCTGAATTGGGTACACACAGAACACCTTCAGAGATGGGGTGCTAGGCTGCTCAGGAGACTGGATTCTGCATTCATGAAGAGCCTATCTGGATAAGGTACCTAAATGAGTGATGTTACAATGAGCAAATATGTAAATTCATAGGTAAGAGGAATTCATTCTTCACTGCACAAAATGATACTGGCAAAAGCAGAGGTAAAGCATTTCTAAAGACTTCTAAAGAGCAGAGCAGGCATTTGCCGGACTTCTGGTATAAGAGGTGCAAGAAGATTAATTATATTTTTAAAGGACTGTCAACAGTTTGTGAGTAGATTTTTATTAAATGACTTTGCTATAACAGCTGATTGCAATTTGTGGACCTCAAGGTTTTTATGCAGAACCTCATGACCTTTTTTCCCTCCACTTTCTTCTAACAGAAAGCAAAAAAGCCAAGAGGAAAAAAGCTTAGAAAATTGCCACTGCTGTTTAGGACTGAGAAACCTACTTAAATACAGGCAGTTTGAAACACTCCCTATATCCTCAAAAAGCTGTAAGTAGTGTTTAGCTTCCCCTCAGGCTCTAGTGAATTCACTACTTGTTCTTTGACTCCTCAACACCTCTCTGCATTGTTCTGTAGAACTCCCACTCCTTGTTATAATGTTCATCTAAGTTCAACTTTTTCTGATGAGGGTATGTTTGTGCTTACATTTTGGGTGAGTCTGGCAATTCTGCAACATCCTCTGGCTATGTTTGACATGGTCTGCTGATGATATCAGATGCACCCTTGGCTTTTGCCTTCCCAAGACAACAGGTCCCTGTTTTGGCTTTCTTGACCTGACTCTATTCACTTTGACAGCTGCCAAGTGTCTCCCAGGCACACACTAGCCCAGCCATGGCCGGGCAATGACGCTCCTCCAGTGGATCTGTGCTAGTCTGAAACGCCGCCAGTCAAATTTGGGATTCCTAAAATCACAGTCAGAAGAATAAGGCAGAGACATAGCCACAGATTTGCTTTCCACACATCACAAACTGACTCTTGGAAAAGCTCCAGCAGAGATGGGTAAAGTAATTCTAAGACATGCCCTTGTAAACTGCAGTGCCAAGCTCACTGAGCTGGAGTGCTGGTGATTAACACTGTTTGATTAACTGTGTTAATTCCACTCTGTTGGCTTCATCTTCCCCTCCTTGGGCTCCAAAGGCTCTGCACAAGTGTCCTGGTGTGATGCTGTGGCTGCTATTTCTATAATCTGTTTCCAAGCTGAGACAGCACAATGTAAAGGTAACCAACAAACAGATGTCAAAACAGAAATAAAATGAGAAAAGAACAATCTAGGCTCCTGTTATCACCACAAAATATTGTCAGAAGGGAGTGTGAATGAATCTTAGACCTGCTAAATGGGAGTTGCAAACTGAAATTTCAAATAAATCTTTTAAAATAAGTCAGATTTAAATAGAACATAAGATCTGATTAATTAAAAATCATCATGTTAGCTGTGTACATAAGAACTCAGTATTAAACATTCTGGAACATTAGAAATCTCACAGCTCTTTCATTTATATTTTGAAGCATAAGATTTTCTAAGAAATTATTTTGAGCATTGACTCAAAGAATCCAAAGAAGCTCTTCACTTTCATTCTCGGTATATATACATACATTTTTTTTTTTTTTTTTTTTTTTTTAATATTCAGTTATTGGCAGTTACATTTGCATGACAAATATCTGTAATGGTCGGAGGGGCAGCCTGGACTTACGGGATGAGTATGACTATAAATCAGAGTTAGAGGATTACTCTGCAGTGAGATGGTTAATTGTTCCATTTCTAAAGAGAATTTTTCCTTTCCAGATTTGCCTTCCATCCCTTCCAGATGATCAGAGCTCATACTTCTCACAGTTAACATTTAAGCGTACTTCAGTGCACTGATGATACTTGGCTAGCACTGTTAAAGGTATTTTAATACTCATGCAGACTCGAATGTTACTCACTTTATAAGCTACTACCTCCCATTTTCTTGGGTTTTTTTTTTGTTTTTTTTTGTCTTTTCAGGGGTGTGTGTGGTTTTTTTGGTTGTTCTTTGGTTTTTTTCAGCTGTTGCAACTGGTGTTGTGATTTACACCTTCTGGTGCAGTTTCCTGTTCTAGAGTCTCTATTCATTTGCTAGATGCCTGCAAAGTACCCACTACAGAGACTTCCCTGACAACTTCCAAATTCCTTCTCATTCCCTTTCATACAGTAACTAATAATAAGCAAGAGTCAAGACCACAAATCTTCAGCAAATTCCATTGCTATGGAATCACGATATACACAAGGCTCTGATAATATCTGAGTATTTTGTACATAATTTTGTTTCTAGACAACTGCACACAGGGTCAGATGCCTTGGGAGTTTAAATCATTTTGTTTTCTAGGCATTATCTAAGTGAGGAATTGCATGCAGGCACAGACTGCCTCCCATGTTATCAGAGAGCATTTTGAAATTTGACCTATGTTGGAGAATGAACTTCTCTGCACTGAATTTCTGAGGTAAAAGTCCTGCCTGCTCACAATATTTGTCATCACACTTTATTACTTGATCTACTTTTTATCAGCTTTCTAGATACTGTGTTAGTTTTTAATTATACTTTTACACCATTCTTATGCATTCAAATCTATTTAACTATCTACATCACTGTTCTGAAACAAATTCCTGAAACTCTCCTTAACAGTGGTCTCAAAGAAGGATCCAGGCCTGATTTACTTCATGTAAATAAAAAGAAACTCCACTGAAGCTGCTGGAGATCCATAGATTTCACAGCTGGTCCTTTATATCCTTTCTGACTCAGGAGAACCCAACAGCATTAAAATGTAGCCACGTTGCTGGAGCTACAATAGGCTACAGAGGAAGTGACCTTGTTCTAGAACTAGCAAAACCCAAACTTGTTTACATATTACAAACCTTTTCTTTGGATAGTTTGATGAAAGGCATGACTTTCTAAAAACTGGGTATGGTGCTTAAGAGCAGCTCCTAAGAGATGATTTTTCCTAGACCCAGCCCACACTGCTCATTTGATTGTTTAATAAACATTTCTAGACTGGTGAGAAGGGAGTTTTATCTCCCACTGAATATGCACTGCACTTATTCACACATTCCCAATCTCTGCTGCACCCTGATATCTTTTCTTTATATTCTGCTTTACATAAGCAGTTGTGTTGTATCATCTAATCATCCTCTTTCAAAACTCACCACAAAAACTTAGCAATTATTCCCCCAGGGCTAAGGGGAAACCTGAAAAAAATCCCTCAGCATTTCTTGTCTCAGAAGGAAATTTGGGGTACCCATGGGAGGAATCCTGAGGAACCCCACAACATGTGGTGTGCTTCTAGAGGAAGTATGACCAGATCTGTGTACAATTTCTTGATATCCCAGGCATTCTTCAGAACACCTAGTTTATAATTTCAATCAATCCAAATAGACATGTACAAATTACTAGAAAATGTTTGTTCCTGAGAAAGCAGAGTGTGCCCTCTGTTTATCAGGAACAGGCTAGAATTGTAGAATGTGCATTGCTCTGAATAAGAATCCTGGAATGAAAAGCTGAATCCTTCCTCAAAAGACTGCTTCCTTGGTTTCCTTTTGTTTTTTTGGCTCAAGAAGGATATTGACATGATTTGCTGAGCCTTCCTGCATTACTGTGAAAAAAATTCCTTGTCACAGAAAAAAACACGCCTTCAGTTAGGAGGCAGTTAAAGAACAAGCACACAGTTTACAGAAATACTGCATTATAAACAGGTTATAAAATATTTGAATCTTTAATTTTGAGAATATAATTCCGTGATTTTCAGTGAAATATTAAAAGGAAAAATTCTTAGGATATAAGAGCAGGACCAGATAATCGACATATTTACATTTGGGAAAGTTGTGGTCCTGTGTAGCAATTTAGTAGGTTTTCCTCAACTAACTCTCAACAGAAAAGATCAGCCTGAAGGAGATGTCTGCGGAATTTGTTCCAAACAATCAGGTCTCTTACAGAAAAGTAGAGTCCTTAGAAGCTTGTCTGTTCACCACAGATCATTTTCAACTTAGAATCAGTCTCCTGGTATTTTGTAGGCTGAGATTGCAATCTTCCTGGAAAACTGTCAGGAAGCTACGGAAACAAAGAAATCTTGGGAAGGAAAGATGTATCCCAGAGTGGATGGTAAAAAGACTTCATTGCCTGCAACCGCTGCGCCTATTTCAGGAGCTGACTCAAAGATTTCTCCTGTTTCATGACTTGACTTTCTGCTGGGCTGTTGACCAAGGGTCAGCACTCCAATGAGGCACGAGCTGGAAGAGGGCCCACGGGCCAGGGCCTTTCCCTGGACACCAAAGGCAGCGTTAAGATAAAATCTGAACTGAGTGCCGGCCAACATCCGACTGCAACCATCATTTACTCATTCCTCATCTTTCACAATGTTGCAGCTGGATTTGTACATCTGGAAGTTGGGAGATAGTAATGTGTGAAGCCTGAATGGAATTTTTCATATATAGGAAACAACAGGGAGGAAGCTATATGAGCAGGAGCAACAAAAAACAGTGGAAGGATTCTCTTTTCAAAAGATGACTTAGTGGATGGAGTTCAGGTGACTGAAATAATTTCCATCTTTACAGCATGTTTTTGGAAGCACTGTAAACAACTTATTCATACAACTGCTATTGGAAGTAAGAAAGCAGCATATTTCACATATTATGCATGGCATATTGGAATAAATAATTTGAAGCCACAGAAAACAGTGATAGAGCTGGGACTGGATAATCAAAACATTAAGTAATCAACCACTGTACACAGCTTAAAGTCACATTTTCATTAACTGGGCCTTGCAGGCACTCACATAAACTCCATGAACTGACCACCTCTGTAAAACAATAAAACAACATGATCCCCACCTTGCAGATGGGGAATTGAAATGCAAATATATTTTGTCACACAGGAAAAAGCAGGATCTGAACCAGATGTTCGAAGATCTGGCCCCGTGCCTTAAGCAGAAAATAATGCTTTTAACTCATAAAAGTGCTCAGACAAAACTGTTCTTTCTCACCTTTTATGATCTGGTTTAATAAAGAAAATAGCGGAAGATCAATAAGTATGCTGTTAACTCAAAGCCAGATTGGTGATAAGAGAACATGCTTTGATGAATGTGGAATGTTATTTGACTTTTTGTTAAATTGGGGGAGGGGGAGGGGGGGAGGGAAGAAAATGTCTGTTTTGCATAGAGACAATTTCCAGACTTGAATCCTTTCCCTCTGTAAACTCCTTTTTTCCTTTGATACATCTTTTCCAAAATTACCCAGGGTTGACCCATATGGGTGGCACTGTATAAACTGCCTAAGCTGCTTTCCAAACTGCAAATTTCTGTGAAAACTTAGTAGGACAACTACATGGATCCATTATCTTCACCTCCCTGTCTGTACTGGGAAAATGTGTTTTAAAAGCATTGATTCCCCAGAATGTGTAAATAAGTTTGACTAGGAGGCTTATGCAGAGAAATGCTGTTGTGCTGTCATCTCCTCATCCCTCTGGATGCTGAATGCCTTGGCCCTGATAATTAGCCTCAGCTCCTGTGGGAGCAGAAATGTGCTGACTAAACGATTGTTCCTGTTATCTGGGTTTCCTACTGTGCTGGGAGTTCTTTGCTTTAGTTTCATTAACTGCCTTAAAGCCCAGCAAAATGTCATCTTTTTTCAGTAAAATCTGCATTCGGGCAAAAGACACTGTTTAATAGCCTAATTAGTGGGATGAACAAAGAGCTGTGTGACAGGTTCTTCGTGTGAGTGAGTGCCAGTTCAAATCTATTTAACCACTGTAAATTGATTTGAAGGCAGCATCAGATGTGCCACTAGATTTCCATTTATTCCTCACCGAAAGTCAGTTAAATGCGTATTGTCTGGAAATTGTCCCAGGGAAGCAGATGTGATATGTTTCTCCAGGCTTTGACAAAAGACCATTTTTTGAAGCTTCAGACAGGAGTTAAGAGTGCTCAGCATCTCCCAGGATACTCACAGCATAATGGCTGGCCACAGTGTAAGTGGAATCTGCTTTGAGTAATATGACCTAGATTCAAGAAGTCTTTTGAGGAACTCTGTGAATGGAAGACTCAAATCAAATCAGATATTTAAACCATAAAAATCCTTTCCTACAGAACCCAGATGAAACTACTTTTCTTCAATAATCAACATCATAATTCTTCAGTTCTATTTTATTTTGCAATGTTCATTTCCTGTGGCTATTTTCTAAGATCTCAGCATTTACAGGAAACCTGATTCCCTAACACATCCACTTGGAGAGAGTTTTCTCTACTCACAGAAAGGTACTGAAAGGTGCAAAAGTTCAAACATACTCATCTGCAGATGAGCTCACCCTCACCAGTTCTCTGCAACTGATTATAATAAAAACATCACCTCCCATGTGACCAGCTCTTGCCATTGAAAAGTAATAATGTCATCTCCGGTGGGATCCTGGATGACATACAGCTAGTATTAAAACACACATATTTCTCCAGATTTCGCTGCAGCCTGTAATTTCCTTTAGGGGAATGGCTATGTGATTGGGCAGAGTTTAAAGAGGGTAAAGGAATAAACACTCTGTTAATATTAAAGGGAAACAGAAAAGATGACTGCCGTAGTAAAAGAGATTGTAGCTTGGCAGCTGGGGTAAACATGTCAGGCAGCACTGATAATATGGGCTGATATCTATTCTTATTCATTATATAGGAAGTTATATGGCTTTGAATTTTAAAAGTTAATATTAGCATTTTTCCTTCAAGCTAAAGATGTTATTGTCAAGTCTGAGCAAATAGCCCATTTAAATATTTGCTTTATGGAGCATTTGATCAAGTGATCAGAACATTTAGATTAGCATCTGTTGTACAAGAAATTTGCCTTTCTGTGCAAGAATCCTATCTCCAAGAAATAGCACAGACTTCTCCTAAATTCTATTGTGCCTGGTGGCCTCAAGCAAGACCAGCAGTATTCCTGTAGAAAGAATAAAGCCCAAAATACTTGCTGAGTATGTGTCCTTGCTCATGATTACTTGCCTAGCTTGATTGCTTGCCTAGCATTGAATTTGTGGGAGTCTTCCCTTCTAGGGAAAAGAGAACCAAAATCATTATATTATGCATATCTGTCGTGAAAGAGAAGATTAAATACTGTTACTTGCAGACAAAATAATTCAAAAACCTTAAGAAATGTCAGATAAGAATGACAATATACCCCAGAGTTTGCTTGAGACAACCAAAGCTGGGGGAGGCTATGCCCTTTCCAGACATATCTCTCAGCTAGATTCCATCACCAGGCAGAGGGATGTATTGTAATAAAAATGTAATATCATCCCTTATGATTTTAAGAAGATATCTCCCTTATTTTGGGAAGGCAGTAACATAAAGCTAAGAAAGGAATCTCCTCAGAAACATCCCACCCAGACTAGAGAGTCTGAATGCAAGAAACATGGCCGCTACATATTCATACTGGGTCACGCTCTTTTTATACAGAGACAACGTATTTTCAAAAAAAAAAAAAAGGATGCTGTGTTATTTTAACAGAGCGAGAGGAATTGCTAGAATTGCAGACTAATCAGTGCATTGGAAATTGCTCAGTAGGTACTGCTTTATCTTCACAAGACCCAAACAGACCTTAGAATGTGTATTAGGTGCTGATGGTTTCACAAACTTCCTTAAAGCCATCTATAGCTCTTCCCAGCTCTTAATTATTTCTCTAAGAAGAGATCACAGGACTAAGGTCTAAGGACTTAGTCTAAGGATTACTTTTGGGAAGTAAGAGGCTACAGAAAGTGTAAGGTAGGCCTACGTCTGACACAGCTCAAAATGTGAGAAGATATGGGGCATTTGAAAAGAAATCTTCAAGGTTACTGCTACCCATATCATCACTGCTGAAGCAACACTTGGGATGCTTTAAAGATCATTAAAAAAGAGGATTAAAAGTCAAAGTCTTGGTCTGTTGAGATTCCCCTGTAGGAACTCAAACAGAACTTACAGAAATTGTAAGTCAGGTCAAGCAGAACTTTTTACTTAAAACCAATACCCAGAGTCCTCTGTAAGGCCATATCCATACACAAATTACCCCTCAGAAATTGTTACACCTCAACTGAACTAACACCACAACTTCTCTGAACTTCAGATGGCAAGAAATGGCCACCCACAATTCAGCTTCACTTCAAAACTGACACAAGTTGTTTGTTTTTTCCCCAGAGCTAATGAGTCATGTTCTATGTAAAGTGTCACTGCGCTGTCCAGGGCTCATCAGTGCTCAGTAAGCAACTGGACATTTGCCTAGAGGCAAGGCAAGGCTGAAACAGCATTTGGGAAGGAAGTGTTTCTGTAGGGTTTAGAAGATGAAGGAAGAGACAAATGAGCCTGAAAATAGACATGGCTTTTCTGAAGTTAACTAAGAGACACTTTGTAGTAGAGACTTGGGATCTGAATAAGAGATACTTAATTATGTGCTGTTCCCAACAGCTGCATTTTTGAAAAGCTGCTCAATGGATACGAATTTTACTGCTCTGAGGAAAAGTGGCTGTGAGTGTTACATGTGTACTCAGCATGGCACAGACATTACAATTCAAATTCTAGCGGAGACAAACCCTGAATTCCCTGTGAGAGCTGGGGGTGACCAGACTCACTGCATTATAGTGAGTGCCTGCAGAGGAGCAGGAGCATGTGTGGCAAATGCTATAGATACAAAACTGAAAGACAGAAATACAGGTACAGGCAGACAGAGCTACAGGTTCTTGGCTCTACTTGTTGAATGAACACAACAACAGTCCAATGCACCTTCAGAAGGGCTGCCCCTAAATATCCTATTGCCAACTCAATTTTTTTCAAAAAAACACAACATAATTCTCTTCTGTACCAAAAGAGATTTAGGGTTTGATAATATCTTGCCAAGTTGGCAATGCTGTGCTTCATGCTCTTGTGTAGAAGCTCACAACAGAAACCTAAACTACAGAAGGTAATGCAGAGGTAAATGTGTAATAAAACTTCGCCGTTTTCTGTGTCCCATTCTAAACTGGCTTTCACTCATCTCATGTAGAGTTAGGTGCCCTCAATCATACAAAAACTTCAAAGCTTTGGCAAAGTCTAATTTGTTGCCAGCAACTTGCCCACTGCAGCTAACATGAGAGCATTTGACAAACTTAAAGCTTGGGTGGATGGAAATCATCCTGCAATTTCATCTTAAATATTCATTGTTAAGCAGCTTTAGTAAAATAATTCAATAACTCCTTAACAGTACCTACACCATTATCTATACCCAGCCACAGTGCATATGTGCAACTCCAAACCTGCATTTCCCAGATGTCGACTTCAGTTTTGAATTTTTGGGTATAAAGAGTGGAAGTAGGCTTTTTTCAAGTCACAAGAGACCATTCAAAAGGAAGAATTATTTTAAAAACAAGCTTTTCATTAAAGCAGCCTGACTTGGAAAAATTCTTGTCACTCACTTTTTTAAAAGAAACTACAAGCTTAGACAAATAGGACTCAGATAAGCAGGGATATAGAAGTACTACCCAGGCAATATTCAAATGAAAACTTACATGGTTTTTTATGTCTTCTTTTTCTGCAGATTTTGAGCTATTGTGAGGTGGGTGAGTGTGAGGAACCGCAAAGTCCAGCTGTTCTCCAACACCAGGGAGCAGCTGGAAGCCAAGCACAGCAAGGACAATAGGGCAGAAGCTGTGTCAGCCCCATGCTACCGGAGTAAACCAAACAGGGCCAGCTAGGCGTGGCAGCCAGAGACAGCCCAGAGCCCAGATCATACACTGGGGTGAGCTAGACTCGAGGAACACAAACAAGAACTAAGGCAGAAGCTGAAATAATGAGAGATTTAGAGCAATTCATTGCGTCTTATGAATTAGGCAGTAAGTGTCCTTGTCAATCCCTAGATGGAAAGGAAGAACCAGACACCTCCTGTGATTATCCACTATGAACTGCAGCGCAGGATCTGCAGCTCATCCCCTTACCATTATCTTTTCTACCTGCCTGAATGGGTCAGATTTGTCTAGGGTAAGATAAAATATGTTTTAGGACAAAGACCATGTTTTCCTTAGTGCTTTTCAAAGCTGATGCAGTTCCTGTGCTTCCCATCTTGGAAAGCAACATTAAGAAAAGAGCAAACCGCAGGCTGGTGACATCTGCAAACTGCAGTAGAACACAGCTTGTTTATCTGTCAGCCTGTCAGGCTCACCTATGATTTAACTTCAGTGTTTTCTGTGTCCATGAGAAATGTTAAGAGGATCTCCAAGGTCAAAGGTATCTTGGAAAGAAGAAAACAGGCACAACAGCTTTGTGAATATGTTGATCATTAGAGATTTCTGCCAGTGACAAAAAATATGCTTAAATTTTACTTCACTGAAAAATATTCAGTAAGGAGAGCAGGTATTCCTCTTGAGAAAAAGGTAGCGAGGAAACTTCCATTGACTTTAGCTGTTGGGTGAAGTTAGGAGGAAAAAAAGTGGAGCAACTTTTGGGACCATAGCTGGGTTCGTGCTGTCCTCTACTGGTGAAGAACACAAGTTACGGTACGTGTAAGCAGTGCTCAAATAGTATGAGATATTTTAATAAACCTTTAAAGAAACGAAAGGTGTAATAGCTGTCCAGACTAATATATTGTAAGTATTAAAATTAAATACTTAACTTGTGTGCCTGTGTCTAAAAGCACAGTCTTCTGACTGCAGTTGCTTCAAGTAAATCCATCAGTTCAATGTAAACTTTCTGCCATTACTGTGTATGCAGGATAATACTTCCCAATTCCTCCAATTCTCCATCTTCTTTTTCTTCTTTTTTTTTTCTTTTTAAAAATCCAGCTACAAAACACAAGTAAAACAAGAAAAATGCAGTATATGCCTATACAAGCAGACATCCCTTTCTCTTTCAGCTTCTGTCTAAAGAGACAACCTGATGAGCAGCATTTATTCAAGCAGAGATCCTTGCAGAGATATTCTAGAAAGGCTGACAGTGGCTTTTCATAGGCATGGGTTGTGTTTGGGTGGTTCTGTCCCTCACTCTGCTCACATGCCCAAATGAACAGTGGATCTCCAATTCCAGTGGTGTTTGTTGAGCCCAGCATGGCCACCCAGCTCAGTGCCAGCAGAGCAAGGTAACTAGGAAATGTCCTGCAGAGCCTTGTTTAACTACAAGAGCAAACAGCAGATGAGGAGAATGACATGGCACACAGGCAACATTCACCACAACAGATTGCTCATTTTACCTAAAGTGAGATCCAGAAAATTTAAACATTCGCCTCCCTCCTGCAAAGCTTGGGCCACAAAGTCTCTTATGGGTCTCTGCACAGACCTGAAAATTCATAGCTAGAGAGGCTCAAGCATGGTCTGATTTCTGAATCTGTATAATGATTTTAATTCTTTTTTGACTTACACACTTGATATGTGGCTGGGATACAAGTTTAGTTCTTCATTCGACCTTCCTCTGTGGCAGCCCCATTTCCTCCCATCCTCAGGAAGGATTCACAGGGATTAAGAGCAGACTTACAGCCTCTTCTGTGGTAACCATAGCAGTATACCAGGGCTGATGAGAAATTATGAGAGTTCAAAAAAGAGTTGCCCCTGCTGTGATGCAGTGTAAGACTAATCAACTTTTTTCCTTACTTATCTGGAGGCTCCTGTGCTATACCAATGCCCAGAAACACCCGGAAACAGCTGTAAACCATCACTAGAAAGGGACAACTTTGCCTCAGGGCAGTCCAGAGGGAGCATGAGATGACATAACCTGCCTTCACAGATCCTTGAGCTGTTCTTGCACTAAACAAAGAACACTCTTAGAGTTACACCCTAAGGACAGAAATGGAACTGTTGAAAAGGTCATCTTTGTTGTGTTTGCTTTCTGAGAAAAAAAAAAAAAATCAGAGGTTATCAGAGAAGGGATTTTATTTTTACAATGCTCTTGTTCCCAAGAAACTCAAGAAATTTTTAATATTTGACTTGAAGGGGAACAAAATACTGCTCTTGGGGAATGACTTCTTGCATTACCAAAAAAGAAATGTTTAGGAAGACCTGTGGAAAAATCCAGGCAATTGCTGTTGAAGAAATTTATCTATAGAGCGAAGTGTTCATGTAAATTCTAGACATTGAATCATGAACAATTTGGACATTGTTCATGAACATTATTTTGTCATGCTGTAAGTTTTATAAGGTACTGGTATACAGTATCTTTCAGAACCTATTAAAATTAATGAGGATTATACTTTTAAAACTACCACTGGATTAGAAGAGTGAGAATTTGAGAGAGGAAAAGAGAGAATATAATTTAATAAATTTAGTAAATCTTTTTTGCAGTAAGTGAAAATATCTTCCAACACATACAAGTGTAATTAAAGACAAAGATAAAAATCCCATCCAGCAAAGCTCTATACAGCTTAGATCTGGTAAAGCATTTGCATATTTGCTGGAGACAGTGTATTTGTCCTTGCACAGCATTTCTGATATTGAAGAAGCCTTCATGTATTTTTCCTTTTGCTATTAAGCTGCAAATAAAGATTTTCTGTTAGCCATGGTTAGTAAAAGCATTGACAAACTACACTAAAACGAAACTAATTTCTTCAAACAAAAACAGTTAAAACTGACAGCAGTACCTTTAAAAATGGTTTTCAAGCAACAGTTGAGGAAAAAGGAACATATCACTGGAAGACAGTTTTCCTGTATTGGCATTTTTGCTGTCCAGTAAGCCAAATTTCATAGGTTTTTCCATCTAGCAGTGGAGAGATGATTAGTCTGCAGGTGATTAATTCTGTGGAGGAGAGGACTGATTCCAGTTGAGGTTACAATTATGGCTGATGCTCTGGAGTGGCAGGGATGAGCTGTATGGCTACAGTGGGGGCTAGGGCTCAGGAGAGGAAGAGCCGGACAAATACATTTACTGCAGGATCTTGTCAGTAGGGTGTGTCTAGGATGAGGGCTGGTGGTAGTAAGGATTTACAGCTTCTGGCTAGTTGCAATTGGAACAGTAGACCAACAGTTTCAGGACTAGATCTCTTGATCTAGAAAACAGTGACTGGGCTAAGGATGCAAGACCATTCACTGTCAGGAATGCTCTTAGGTGGTTTATGATCACAGGTCCAGTAAAAGAGGGCTAAGGTCTTGGTTTTATGTTATTTTCTTCAAAAATTAAGGGAAACCAGCAAACTTTGATATGAGACAAGCCACTCATTTTGGTATGAACTCAATATAACTTATTGGTATTGTATTTAAAAAAAACATCCTGATCTTGAATGTTATGGTCTAGGAAAGGGGAGGCTACACAAGCAAGTTAATAGGTGGACCTACTAAGTTCTGCAGGAATCATGTATGAGCTACTATTTGTAGTGAGCTGTGTGGTTCTCTCAAAACTTAATTTTTAGGGTGTCTGGGTTGGTGGGGGTTTATTTTGTTTATTGGCTAACATTATGTTTAAGATAAAGAAAGATTAATGTAGAAAATATCCTTAAAGAATCCTGACAGGTTGTGGATGATCCTTCCTGAGAGTAGTGAATGGTAGGGAACATTGACAAGGTTTTGGATATGATAACCAGTAGGACTGGATTTGAAATTAGGGATCTGTGAAGCAAAACTTAAATATTAGTATGGTTTCAAGTATTAGCGTGGTTTCTTGCAGGACATTGAGACCTAGAACAAGGAGATTGAAATTTAGACAAATTTAAAACTGCAGTTCAGGAAAGTGGGAGCAGCAGAGGTCAGCTTATTACTGGAGTCCTTCAGTTCTCTAGGGCAGGATGAAAGCCATGGTTAGGAAGGGTGTGTGCTTTCTGCATGGGTGAGTAAGGCTTCTGCAGAGAGAGGAACACTGCTTGGTGCTGTGTTTTATATAAACAAAGCCTGAGAAACATGGGTTTCTGCCTGGGTTCTTTGAGTCCAATAATTCGCATTTCACTGTTGATCTAAGTTATGAAGAGCAGGAATGTAATCTGTGAAAGAAGTTTGAGTTGTTTGAAAGCCATGAGCAATGGTTACTAATACTGGCACAGAACAAGTCACATGAGGATAATTCAAGGGATAGAAACTGGAACATTTTGGACACAACTTATGTTTTAATATTCACTTGCCTTATATCCAGACACTCTGGTGGTATAAGTGTTAATTATACCCAAGACAGCAAAGTGGGGAAGTCAGATATTAATATGTGTGGTAAAATAAATCTTTAGATGAAGCAAACATTTTATTATTCAAATAATTGCGTTTCCTTTTCTCTGTTACAACATGCAATTTTGTCATGCATCTCTTCTGCACGACAGAGGAGGAGGAAGGAGTTTGTCTCATTGAAGGCAGTGGAAAGTATGCTTGATAGAGCATGCACAAATATGGACATGAAGCTGTGAGGCTGCACTGCTCACTGCCCTTACAGATGCAAAGACGCATGCACTCAGATTCCCGAACAAACTACAGTCATGTTTTCGCTTCAAATTTTTAGCATTGAACCTCATTCTTGTGATAAAAAACGGTCACTCCCCAGCCAGTTGGCTACACAAGCCAAGAAATCTGGCCACTTGGTGATTGCAGCCTAGTTACTGTGAACACAACTGCGCATTGCTTCCCTAAAAAAACAAATTTAAAAAATCTCCAAGGCTTGCCACTGTTTGGAAAGAGGTCAGCTTCAGGCTCTTGTCATACTGTGGGAGAGCAGAGCTTCACAGTAAACACCAGCTAACACACTCACTACCAGTGTTAACACTAACAATTAAAATATTAATACTAATAACACTTAGTATGCCTATTATTAATACTAGTAGACGCCGGTAGCGTTCTTAGCTGAGGCTTGCATGAAGAACACAAAATTAATTAATGTTGCTGATTATGCTACTCTGGTGTTGAAATATTGGCCTTCACTGTGATAGCCCCACACTTACCTTGATGGCCTCCCCCAGCAAGTCCCACAGCACCTGGATGCAGATCAGCTTCAACCTCCGCTTGACTGATGTGATAAACAGAGTTAATGCATTAGAACTTTTAAAAGTTTAATAAATGATAAAAGGACAAAATAATCCAGAACTGGGGTGCTTTTGGCACTCCACGGCCAAAGACCACAGAGGTAGCTTAAAATCATGTTCACTATATACGGTTACATTGCTGGGGCTACATCCATATTCATTACCTTATACATTATTCAAATCTTCATTTGAGTTTTTGATGTTCCAGGAACTCTCTTGTTCGGTTTTAACTTCTGATTTGTCTGCAGAACATTCTGTAAATTAGGTCTACATACTTCATTTCTTCCTGTAGTTTTATCCTGTAGACAGATGTTTGGCTTCAGGCCTCAAGGGTCCCCAAAGCTGGGATCCCATTAGAGTGGGTGGGATAGCTGCAAGAGACATTGAAATTACGACAGTAACTGATTTGTTCCCTTATCAACAGCTTCAGGCTGCAGTGAGAAGCAGGAGCAACTTTTAGCTACAGGCAGTAGGAAGCTGAGGAGCTGGAGCTGAGGCAGCAGAGCCAGAGGAGAGAGAAATGTGGTAGGGTTTGGGGTAAAACCCCTGTGGAGCTGGGATAGGGAATATGGAGCTGGGATGGGAATTGCATGGCTGGAGCTGAAATTCCTTAAAGGGCTCCGATAGACACTGCAGAGCTGTTACTGCAGGAGGGATTGTTAGGTTGGGGCAGGAATACGGGCTCAAGAGCTGAACTAAAATCACACAGAGCTAGAGCTAAAACAAAGATCCTGCCCTGAGAGCCAGATGCAGTGTTATGTAGCACTGCTGGGAAGGAGTTGAGGAGGAAGTGAAACAGAAGAGCTGGCAGTGAAATAAAGCTTGTGAGTCAAGAGCTGAGATCCCTGGGGCTGGGAAAGGGCATTTGTAGGGCAGGTGCTGTAATCACTGCTGGGCTGGGAAAGGGACTGCACACACCATAGGAACCGAAGGGCTGGCACTGGGACTGTGGGGTTCTTGCAGCGACATCCCTTTACGCCTCTGACATGGATGCTGGGGCCAGCTATTACAAGTGAAATTAGAACAGGATGTGTGGGATATATGTGTTTTGATCGTGTAACCAGATGGATTAAGAAAATCCAGCACCCATAGCAGATTTCCGTTTGATCTGTGTCTGTGTGTTGGAGACGGAGGGACGCTGTTCGGAGGGTGGCAACAGCGGCAGGTGTGAGCTGTGAGGATGATGAGGGCTCAGAGCAGCCCCAGGTGCGAGCTGTGAGGATGAGGAGGGAGGGGGCGGCTCCTGCCGGGGGGGAGGTTGTTTTAGGGCGAGGGTTTGCTGCCGCTGGCTTTTGCCTGGAGCTGCTGGAGAAGAGGAGTTTATGGGGGGCTCCCGGGGCTGTCTTATGGAAGGAGGGTGAGCGCTTCGGACAGGGTCTGGGGGATCACCTGGATACGCACCTGGGGACGTGGAGCTTTGCTCAAAGGAGGCGCCGAGGGACAAACCTTTGTGTGACCGAAGCGGCCAAACAGGTGAGCCGGTGCGCCTTTGTAGCGGGGACTTTTCTCCTTTCCCTTTTAAATTTTGTCCTCCTGAGGTTGAAATGAGGGGGCTGCCCTGTTGTCCCGCCTTTCAAAGGTTTGAATTGAGGTAAAATTCTGCCTTTTGCCATCATTTGAGGCAAGCCCCTTCTTTTCTGCTCTTCTAGGGGATGCGATGGAAGGGGAGCCCACATTTCTTTGCCCTTGTTGCAGTGGGGTGAGCGCCCGAGCGTGGCGTCAGTTCCGGGGCTTCAAAGGAAGGGAGGCGCGGCTGTGGCAGCGCTGGCAGGGTGGGCATGGGGCTGCGCCGCTGCATTTGGGGCGCTTCTTCTGCCCCTGGCCCGGCAGCGAAGGGTCCGGCGCGGGAGCCCCGCTGGCAGTGGCTGGGGATGGCCGAGGCGGGAGGGGAGTTTGGCGCGGCGGGGCTGCCGCGGGACTGCCGGAGCCGCGCCGGTGCGAGCCGTGCGGAGCCGAGGGGAGCTTTGGCCGGGCCGGCGGGCGGGGCAGGCGGCGCGGGCGCTGCGCCGGTGCCGCCGCTCCGTCCGCTCCGGGCGCGGGGCTCGGGCGCCGCCGGGGCCCCCCGGGCCCGGTGCCGGCCCCGCCGGGCCGGGGGGAGCGGGCGGGGGTCTCCCGGCGCGGCGCCGCCTGTGCCTGCCCGAGGAGCCGCTTTCCTGCCGGGAGCGCGGCTTCTCATTTTCCAGCCTTCCTGCCTGGGGTGGCTGTGGGGTGGTTCTGGGGAACTTATCGGATCCTTTTCTGTTGTCCGGAGTTGGTGTGGGAGAAGGGCCGTGGGGCACTTTTTGGTTGGTACGGTTCTCGCTTCGGGCGCTGATGACAAGGGGTTTTTTGGCTTGAGTGTTGTTGTTGGATTTCTTTTTGATCGTTTCTTATGTTTTTAAAGGATGTGTTTTTAAAAGCTTGCAATGGTTTTTCTGGGTCGTGGCATGAAGTAGAGGATAGGTTTTTAATTCGGTTGTGGAGGTTTTTATTGGCGTGAGTGCGTAGTGATTGTTTTGGTGGCTTGAGGTAGTGTCCTGTACTTAGTGAGTTTTTTTTTTTTTAATGTTGATGATTGCATTCTTGTTTATTATAGGGGTTTTATTAATTTGGCTTATTTGATTGCCGTGTATGTTTTCTTGTTGCAGGGATTTTGGGAGTTGTTGTTTATGGTTACATTTCTCTTTTGGTGACGTGTTTATTTCTAAGTGGTATTTGTGTTTTGATGGTTTGAGGCATTTTGGGTTTATTGAGTTAGGAATAATTATATTGTTGTTGTTGATGTGTTTGGTTTTTTTTGTAGTTTGATGTATTTGGTTGTTGTTCTTTATTAGTTTTGTTTTTGGGAACGTGGGTATTTCTATGGTGGATCTTTTTAGGTAGTTATTTTATTTCGGTGGTGAATCTTTTGTTTCTTCGTGGTTCCGATTTTATTACATCGGTAATTATTTGGTGGGGTTTTTTTAGTTCATTTTATAGAGTATTGGGTTCTCTTTATGAGTTAGTGTAGTGTAGTGGTAGAGTTTTGGTTTTTTTTTTTTTTAAGAAACGTTCGGGGTCTGTTGTATGGTTTGGAGTATAGTGAGTTAGTTGGCGGGTTTTTTTTATTTGTTTGTTTTAGTGTTTTTTGTGATCTGCTCTGTGGGTTTCTATAGGTCTTTTTTAAAATGTTTGTTTCATTTTTGTGATGTGATAAGAACTGCTAGTGAAAGAAGTGTAGTGCGGGTTTTTTTTGCCGGTAGTTGGTTGGCTGGTGGAGCCTTTCTGAATATTTTGGACGGTATTGTTGGGAATTCGATGCTGTTTGTTTTGGCATTTTATTATTAGGAATTGGATTTTTACTGCAAAGTTTTAACTATAACTCTAATGAAACAAAACAAATGCATAAATATGAAAATGGGAACAAAAACTTAAATTTTAAACAGAAAACATATAAATAAAACATGTAACATAAATAATGTTATCCATTACCATTAGATATAATATTGTTTGCTATAGAGTATTTTCTATCTTTATATAAATACATATAAATATAGATTATAAATATAAACAAAATATCCGTCTAGAGATGTATAATTAATACATGTGGGTATATAAATATAAGTATTACAAAATAATAGGAAGCAATATCGTTCATAATGCATATTTTACTGTATATGTCTTATAGCACATTATATGTCATAAATATTATGTATCTAAATAGAGTACATCAATATATTGTAATTTAATAGACAAAAACTTGTTAAAATCAAAAATAGAAATATAGATGTTTTCAAATATAGCTTAAAATAAAGGGGATTCTTATTTTCTATTTGTTAGTAGGTAGGGGTTTTATTATAAAAATTATACTGTACAAAGCAGTTAAAAGTAAGTTGTACCATATCGAAATACTTGTGATGCAAAAAGCTGATCTCTGAATGTGAAAGTCAATATTATTTTCTCCTCTATAAAATCGGACGACCGTGGGGGAGAAGGAGGGTGAGCAGCGGGCCCGCAACAGGCGGAGGGCGGGCAGGGGGACGCGGGCACTTCACTGTTTTGGCCAGGGTGCTGATCTCGGCCAGTCGGGGCAGGACAAGTCCCCGCAGAAGCGGAAACACTGCGGGGGAAGAGGCGTCGAGAGCCCGCAGCGGGCTCTGCGCGCCCTCCCCATTCCCCACCACCGAGCCGCCTCCCCGCCGCGTCGCCGCCGCTCCCCGATCCGAGCTGCAATCGCAGAGTCCGCCTTTGCCGCCCGGAACCATTGCCGGGCTGCGCCCCTCCCCTGCCCCGAGTGCCGACGGGTGGCTGCAGTACGGGCTCTGCGGGGCCCTTTTCGCCGGGAGCCGGGCACGAGCAAGGGCCGGAGAAGGGGCCAGGGGGTCTCCGAGCGGGACCCGGGGCGCCCGCGGGCCCTTCGAGCAGCGCGGGCTCCGCCCCACGCTGCCACGGGCCGCGGCCGCGCAGCTCCCGAGCCCCGCCAATCCCGGCCCGCCTTTCCTCGCCCTGTCCAATCACAGCCGCCCTTTCAAACCGGGCGCGGTTCCTGCCATTTCAGCCCGCTCAGTCGCGGCCCGACTCCTCAGCCTGGCCCCGCTCCCCCGTGCGCCAGAGGCGCCGCTCCCGCCGCCGCTTTGGGAGCCGGCGGAGCCCTATCATCCCTGCTGCCGCAGCCTCGGCAGGCGCTGGAGCCGGGAAGGGCGGGCGGGAGCTTCCCGTTCAGGCGCCGACCGGGATTTCTCCCAGGGAAACGGGTGCCGGCGGGGAGCGGGCGGACCCGGCCCCTGCAATGGCGGCGGCGGGAGCGGCGCGTGAGGCGAGCGCGGGGTGGTCGCGAGGCGGGCGCGAGGTGGTCACGAGGCGAGCGCGCGGGGAATGGGCGGGCGCTGCCTCGGGTTGTGATTGGCTGGCGGGGCCGGCGCTGAGGTATAAGTAGCGTGCGTCGGGCTGGCGGCGACGTCAGTTCGGCGGCGGAGCTGGAGGCGACAGGAGCTGCGGATGCGCGTTCCGAGGAGCGCCGCTGCGCCGGGACGGGCCCCCCGCGGCTGCCGATCCGAGGAGCGCTGGTGAGCACGGACGCGACTCCCGCGTCTGCCTGCGCCGGGGGCCGGCGGTGTCCAGTTGTTTGCGCCGCGCCCTGCCCGGCTCGGGCGGCCAGAGGCGGGTGCGGGGCCTGGAGTGGCGCGGGGGGCGACCGGCTGCTGTCACTGGGGAGTAGCCGTTTCGCGGTTTCTAGATTTAAAGTAACGCTGAGAATACTGGGAATAAAGCTGGTTGTTTGCTTTCTTATTATTTGATTTTGCGTTTACTTAATAATTTTTGCTGTATTGCATTATTTTCCTGTTTTCTTCGTTTTATTAAATTTAGTTTGTTTGCTTGTGTTTTCTTTATCTGATGTGAATTTAGTAAGGGTTGTGGGGCTGGGGCTGAATCACGGGTTGTGAGGTCACCGGAGATATAAAGGCCCAGGGTGTGGAATAAGGACTTCGGCACGAGTCGGGCCCAAAACAATGTGGGGCAGTGGAAATGCTGGGGCTGGAGTTGGATAAATGCCTTGGGGAGAGGGGTGTGGAGCTGCAGTGCGGGGCCCGCAGAAGATGCCTGGGGGTTCCCAGCGCCTGCCCCTTGGTACCAAGCAGAGGCTGAGGGTGTGGGGGCTCGGAGGGTTCCAGGGCCCACGCATCAGCCCAAGGGCACCTTTTGGGAGGTGGGAGCAGGGGCCCAGTGGCTATTCCCAGCCCCTGGGGCTGCCTGGGAGAGGTGAGGGGGCTTTTGGGGAGGTGCTGGGCTGAGACCCAGGGGGCGGGAGTAGCTGTTTGGCTTCAGGCCTCAAGGGTCCCCAAAGCTGGGATCCCATTAGAGTGGGTGGGATAGCTGCAAGAGACATTGAAATTACGACAGTAACTGATTTGTTCCCTTATCAACAGCTTCAGGCTGCAGTGAGAAGCAGGAGCAACTTTTAGCTACAGGCAGTAGGAAGCTGAGGAGCTGGAGCTGAGGCAGCAGAGCCGGAGGAGACAGAAATGTGGTAGGGTTTGGGGTAAAACCCCTGTGGAGCTGGGATAGGGAATATGGAGCTGGGATGGGAATTGCATGGCTGGAGCTGAAATTCCTTAAAGGGCTCCGATAGAGACTGTAGAGCTGTTTGGGAGGGCAGGAAGGGAATGTTAGGTGGGGCAGGAATATAGGCTCAAGAGCTGAACTAAAATCACACAGAGCTAGAGCTAAAACAAATATCCGTCCCTGAGAGCCAGAATCAGTGTTATCTAGCACTGCTGGGAGGGTGTTGAGGGGCAAGTGAAATAGAAGAGCTGGCAGTAAAATAAAGCTTGTGGGTCAAGAGCTGAGATCACTGGGGCTGGGAAAGGGCATTTGTAGGGCGGGTGCTCTAATCACTGCTGGCCTGGCAAAGGGACTGCACACACCATAGGAACCGAAGGGCTGGCACTGGCACTCTGGGGCTGGCCTTGTGACTGAAACTAGAACAGGATCTGTAGTGAGGAGATGG